AATTCTCTCAACACCCAGCCCCCAACCTCTGGCCTACACCCCAGCTTTTGTGCAAATAAATAAATAAATCTTTAAAAATATATATGAACAATTATGACAGTACCAAGAGGGGCCTTCAAGTTTTGAGTCTGTGTCACTTCCTCCAGGCAGGACCCGTTGATTGCCTTCCCACCCACCATCAGAACCCATTTTGCCTTCACCTGAGTCTGAACTGTTTGTGTTGCAAAATGGTCTGCCATTTGCCTCCTTTCCAAAGTAGTAGGGATTACCACGTGACAGCTGGTGAATGCAAGCATCATTTTTTCTTTCTTCACCTAGAAGAACCCCCTGTTCACCTGAATTGCCCCAGTATTTCCCTCTGGTCTCAGTTTAGATGTCACTTCCTCAGAGAAGCCTTCCTGGTGGGTCTCTGTCCTCTCACACTACCTTGTTTTACTCCACAGTGCTCCTATTAAATACTCATTTGTTTAGGTACTTTTGGTTTTATCTCCCCTCGGAGAAAGTGAGCTCTAAGGCGGAAGGGACATTCCTGCAGCACAGCTATACGTTCCAATCCCCATTTCGCAGAGTGCAAAACTAGCACGAGACCCCCACAATTTTCCTTGTTCAAGGACTAATTGTTGAATGAAAGCTTGCCAGCGTGCCCACGGCAGGGAGCGCGCACGCCGCCTCGCCCCCTGGTGGCTAAAGTGAAACATGCAGTGTGTCTGCCCGCTTGGCTATCAAATTTCTTAGGCATCTGATAATTATGAACTAAAGGTAGAACTTAAAGCCATATCACATATAAGCACAAAGTGCTTTTTTTTATTTATTACAAAGTTTATTTTTACATCATTTTGCACATTTAGCACAAAGTACTTTTAAGATTACTTTTTGAGCTTTTAAATTTTGGTTTCCCAAATCCCCTTAAATATCGTTTAAATGGAGGCGTCAATTACATACTCTGGTAAAACTCACGAAGTCCAACGAGACGGCAGGATGGTTTTAACCTCTCTGGAAGGAGACTGACTACTGCAAGCCCCCCTAGAACCTCTCTTCACCCCCTTTTGGGTCTTTTTCTTTGAATAATCGTTATACTTAATTCTAACAGGAGAAAGTCTTCTTACCTGTTCAAGGACTTAAGATACATGTTCAGTGTCTGTTTGTTATGCTTACTTAGCATAAAGGGTGAAATTCCTTCACTTGGCTGACAAAGGAAGATGCCCCTCATTTTTATGACTATCTAGTATTCCTCCACAGGAAGGAAACACCATATGATTCTGCCTGTCAAAAGGCATTCCATAGGGTTGTATCTGATTTGGGGCTATTGTTTGTTCTGGCATCCACAGTATGGTAGCACAGACAGGGTGGCTTCACCGGAAGCCTGAGATCAAGGGGTCAGTGGGGTTGGTTTCTCTTCCAGTCTCTCTCTGGCTTGTAGATAGCCCAAAGCCATCCTGTTTGGGGACGTGCCAAGAGGCACAATTTGTGTGCTGAGCTGTCACCATCCGGGTAACATTGTTGGGAAGAAGACCACATAGAACCCTGGGCTGCTTGCTCCCAGAATGTGATGACACCCTGAGAATGTGTTTGACACCCTGAGATTTTTCTTGGTGTCTGTTCTCTTATTTATTTTTTTTAAGAGTGTTTCCATCTTTGTATAAACTCAGCTCTGTTGGATTCAAGTCAATTGAGGCTAGTAAGTGAGTTTATTGAAGAATCAAGACTGAACCTCCAGAGAGCTCTGGGAAAGCTCCTTGAACTCTGAGCTTCTCAAGGAGGATTTTATAGACTTTGTAACAGAAGCACAGGGTAGAGCATGAGAGCATTCACCAGAGACAGAGAGGGGAGCAGGACAGGTGGACTGAGTGAAATACACTGCTGAGGGGAGCAGGGGGGAGACAGGAGAGGTCTGCTGTGCCTCCTGGGTCACTCCCTGGCCGGGATCCAACTTGTGTGCAGTGGTTGCTGACAGTTTCATAGGGCTACGACTTAATGTCTTGCTCCACCACGGAGGTCCCCCCGCTGCATTTTTTACAGTCTCCACTGCCATCTCCATACTGAAGAGATTGCAGGCACCTGGGACTACAACTCCCAGCATGCTGGGAACCAGACTTCTTGTATGGGAGTCGCTGGGAATTAGGGGTAGAGTTTAGCATCGTGCTTGCTTATAACTGAACGTGCGCAGGCTTGGGGTGCTCCTGATTTTCTGGCTTCAGCTTGCACTCTAGTACTGCTAGGAGGAGACACTTGGAAGGAGAAAAATACAGATATTTGAAGAAGACACTTGAAAAAAAACACATGGGCAAGAGATGTGGGGTGGTGCTCCTGGTCCCTGGCAGACAATAACCAGCAGCTGCTATCTTGACCTCATTGTGGGTGATGTGGTGTATTTTGAATTTTGACTTTCTTCTTCTGCCCCAGCTTTCTGGGACCTGACTAACCCTTCTTGTGGTTTTTTGCCAGAAGTTACTTTAGACTTGCGGCAAGCTTTCAGATCACAGCAGCTCTGCTTCAGAATGAGCCTGTTTGGCTGGGCCTTTGCCCATAAGGGGACAGATAATTTTTGGAGTTTGCTGTAATTTGAAATCTCTTCTTCTTTTTTATTTCTCTCCCTTCTCCTCCCCCCCTTCCTCTCTGCACACCAATTCTATTACAAATCTTTCATTATGTGGCCTCCCTGGTGGTGCAGGAGTTCAATTCCCTGCCAAGGAGCTGACCCACATGGCACAGTGGACCCCTCCTGTTTTCCCTCTGCTCCCCTCAGCAGTGTATTTCAGTGGACCTGCCTGTTCTGCTCTCTACTATGTCTCTGGTGAATCTTCTCACCTCCTGCACCTCTGACCTACACTCCAGTTATGGGCATAAATAAACAAAGATAAACCTTAAAAAAAAAAAACAAACACTTTCACCAAGAGTCTGCTTCCTTTGCCTTTATGCATGCTGGCCAGGTACCTTTCAGAACATGCACCTTTAATAGGTGTCTAGAACGCACAAAGTCCACGTACCACAGGACCTTTGCACAGACCACCTGTCTTCCTCCTGGACAGCTGCCTCCTCTCACCCTCAGGCCTCTTCATACCCTCTCTCAACACACCGCTCACATTTGTTATTTCATATTCATTTGTTTTTCCTTCCTGAGAGAGGACAGAGTCTGCTTTGCCCGTGGCCCTAACAAGTCTCCCTCTCAGCACAGAGTCTGGTATTCAGTACTGAGCAAAGAATGCAGCAACCATTTTAGTGGTTGAAAAATTTAACCTTCTAAAAGTAACTGTAGGTGTCGTTGGCTGGAGCATTTTGTGTATATGAGAGAGAGAGAGAGAGAGAGAAACCGAGTCAGATTTCCAGGAGTCATTGCCCCAGAACCTGACATCTATTTATTGGAAGCAGGAAGAGAGCTGAGCAAGATGGTGTCTCTCCTTCCTGGAAAGCAGCGTTCCAGGTGCAATTCAGGAACATCCTAGGGGAACTGCTGGACCCACTCTCGCCTCCACCAGGTGGGGTGGGGTGGGGTGGGGTGTGCGTCCCCTTTAAGGCTTCCGGAAACGGGTGGGCAGGACCGGAAGTGACCCTCTCTATTTCCCCAATTCACGTGGTTCGGGCGGGAAGTGACGCGCGTGGCCCGGGAGCTGTGGACGCGGAGGCCGACAGAGCCGGAGTCGCGGGCGCCGCGGGGTCCCCGGGACAGGTGACCGGGGGAGAGAGACGGGGGCGCGCCCGGAGAGGGCGGGGCCTGACGCTTCACGTAGGGAAAGCGGGAGCTGGCGCGGGCGGGGTGCGAGCAGCCCGCGGGGGCGGGGTCAGAGTACTCTGCGGGGGGCGGGGACTTGAACGCCCACATGGGAACCTGGTGCGGTACGGCGGGGCGGGCCGTCGTCGGGTGGGCAGGGCCGGAGCGGGCCGGGCCGCGGGAGGAGCGGAACGAGATTGGAGGCAGGGGGCGGGGCCAAGAAGTTGCCCTGGAGCAATGGGCGGGGCAAAATTGTCCGGCAAGCTGGGGGCGGGGCCGGGACTTGGGCTGGACACGTTGGGGGCGGGGCCAGAAAGTTTTGCCTAAGCTGGAAGTTGGTCCAGGTGGTAGGCTGGGAAGTTAGGGGCGGATCCAGGGGGCTGACGCGACGGCGGGGGCGGGGCCAGGGTGGAACTAGGGGCAAGGCTTCGGGCCTGGCGCGAAAAGCTGGGGGTGGAATCAAAGATTTGAGGGAGCGCCAGATGCAGCCCAGAGCATTGCTGGGGAAACCGGTAGAGGAACCCGAAAGCGCGGGACTCCAGTAAATGGTGCAGGGGTCAGTAAATGGTGCAGGTTAAGCGCCGGAGGGAATCGGGAGCATGACTTAGAAGGTGGGGCTGTGTCGGTAGCGGGCGGGATCCCGGCGTTGACTGGCGAGCCCGGGGTGTGGCCAAATAGCTGCGCCAGAAGGGGGTTGGTTCCGGCTGTTGCCTGGGGACTCAGGGGTGGGTCCAAATGGTCGGCGGGGAAACTGGGAGGCGGCCAGAGGAATGACGCGAGAAGTCCAGCGCGAAAGGCGGGACCTGAAAGTTTGCCCTGGCCGGGGCGGGGCCGTGGCTTTCACTGCGGGACCGAGGCTTGAGCTCTTCCCTGGAAAGCGGCAGGCGGGCCTGGAAGTTCCGGCCGCGCAGGGGAGCATATCCATGGGGAGGTGGAGCTAGACCCTGGAAGCCAGTGGGTACTGGGTCTGGGTTAGCAATCTTTGGAGGGAGGAGGCTGCGGGGAGGCAGTGGTTCCTGCCTCGGGAAGTTGGGGGCCTGCCTGGGGCATCTCTGAGGGAAGCGTGAGTCAGAAAGTTCTCAGAGTGTTGAGACAGTGAAAAGGAGCGGAGCGCAAACTTTTTTTGCATGTGGAGTTGTGGGATGTTTCTGAAACTTCCCTGGAAAAGAGGCCGGTTTTAGAACGTTCACGGGGATGTGAGGGATGGCAGGACTGGCTGGCTCTGGAAGGTGGAGCTAGAACTTCCCTGTACCTGTGTGGGGAGGGCTATCTAAAGCTCTCTTGAGCTAGGAGCTGGGTGAAACCCCAAGCACATGGGTGTGGAGATGGACTAAGTCTTCCTTTGAGCACAGCTGTTTCCTTAAGTGGTGGAACAGGCCCTGGACTTTCCTAAGGTGGGTGTGACTCCGGTGTCTGCCTGGGAAATAGGTGAGTCCTCGTAGTTCATGAGCAGGTGGATTCTAAGTTGTCCCTGTGACGGATCCTACTAGCATTTCCAGAAGTGGGGTGAGTGAGGACCAGAATTCTCTTGGGGTGCAGATGTTTGTGTATATGGGACAGGAGGAAGCAGATTGGTGGTGGTGGAGGGGTGTTCTTAATCCTGCTGTTTCCTCTGTCCATAGGCAGCCCCACTGTGAGCCCAGGTTCTGCTGGGGAGATTTGCTGGGGCCCCACCCAGTGAGATGGTAAGATGGAAAGTGGGGTCTCTGGAACCTGAGCTTTGGGGCAGGGGACTTGGGAGGAGGGGCCCAGGTGCTGGACACTCACACCCTGGCTTGAATGGGTCTGAGGCAGCTAGAGGATTTTCCTGTCCTCCCTTAACTCTTTCTCCATCCCAGGCAGCCACACTGGATCTGAAATCGAAGGAGGAGAAGGATGCTGAGCTGGACAAGAGGATCGAGGCTCTTCGTCGGAAGAATGAGGCTCTCATCCGGCGCTACCAGGTGCCCTAGCCCTGCCCTGGGAGACCCCACCCCCTCTCTTCCCCGCAGTGAGTTTCCTCACCTCTGCCTTCCTTGAAACGTTTTCATGGCTCCCATTGTTATCAGGATAATAGTCAGAGGCCTTAGCCTGGCATTCATTCCCTCATTCCATCATCCATTTGCAAATACACGGTGTTCATGGTACCAAGCCCTGTGCTGAGTGGTACCGGGGCAACACTGACCCAGCTGCAGTGCTAGGGGACCCAGACTTGTTGGCAGCTGTCATTGATGACCCAGAGAGGACAAGGCTGTGGTGGGAGAGTTCAGGGTACTGTGGGAGCCCTGAGGGGCTCTTGACCCCACCTGGGCGATATTGCTTATCTGCCCTGAGCCTGGGATTCTGAGGTCTGTGAGGACTGAATAGATGTCGGTCAGTTGAAAATGAGAGCAAAATGTGTAGAACGTGTTTCAGGCTGAGGGAACAGTTAGTGCCAGAACTTGGAGCTTAAAGTTGGAGGGTCATTTGGGGGAAACAGACCTGGAGAGGTCAGCAGGCGTCTGGCCACGCAGGGCCCTGAAGACCACCTGGCTGAGTTTGGATGTTCTCCTGAGGGTACACGGAGTTGTGCAGGAGTGGGCCCAGGTCAGAGTAGTGTTTTAGAAAGAGCCCTCATGGCTGTATGCGGCGAATGGGAAGAGACAGCACTGGAGACAGAGGCCAAGGATGGGCTGAGTTGGGGAGGGTGTGCCCTGTGACTGATGGGCAATGGTGGGAGGTGCGGAGGGGGAGGGAGGCCCAGGTCCCCCTGTCAAAGATGGCAGGTCAGTGGTGGGGCTGACTGTGAGATGGAACCTGGGAGGGGGAGTTGGCTTCATTGATTCATCTTTCATGTGCTATTCATCATGAAAAGTGACTATATGGAGTTTATTGTGTGTCAGGGAGTGTTTTTGGCTCTGGGTATATTATCAGTGAGCAAAGCAGGCACGGTCTAGCATATATCCAGATTCTGGCGTGTGTGGGGAGACAGACGATAAAAGGTTTGTGAAGTCAGGTAGTGCGCAGGATCGGGGAGGGAATGGCAGGGGAGCTGGTTGTGGTTAGCTGGCCAGGGAAAGCCTCACTGAGAAGGGGCAGCTGGACAGAGCCCCGAGGAGGGGGAAGAGTGTTCTGTGCAGCGGGAACAGTGCAAAGGCCAGAGGTCGGTCTGAGACTGATATGTGCTGGGAACATTGAGGGGTCAGGTGAGCAAGGGTCACTGTGGGAGTGAGGTCAGGCTGGTAACAAGGCCAGACCGTCCGCCCCTCAGGCTGAGGGGAACCCTTGGCTTTTCCGCAGAGATGGGCTCCTCAGGAGCCTCCTGAGTGCTGGGCCCCAAGACACAGTACTTCAGCTGCTGAGTGACCTGCTCTTTGGTCTTAGAGACGCCTGGGCAGGGCCAGATGTGGGAGAAAGTCTGGCTGTGGGACCCCAGCCTGCAGACTAGACCCCTGATGTTCGCCTCTTGTTTGCTCCCAGGAGATTGAGGAGGACCGCAAAAAGGCTGAGCTCGAGGGAGTAGCAGTGACAGCTCCCCGGAAGGGCCGCATGGTGGAGAAAGAGAATGTGGCTGTCGAGGTGGTGAGCTCCACACCAGGGTGGGGCTGCATGCTGATGGGGTGGGCGGCGGCATGGAGGCCTGAGAAGCCTCCTGGCTGCCCCACACCTGTGGGTGGCTTTAGCTGTGCAGCTGTCTTTTCTGCCCGTCCCACCCCCTGACTATTTTCTTCCTTTCCAGGATAAGAACCTCGGTCCCTCCCGGAGGTCTCCTGGGGCCCCTCGGCCCCCGGGGCCCAGCAAAGGAAGCCGACCCCCCCCTCAGCTGGGAGGCAGGGCAGGCACTGGCCGGGCATCCCGAAGTTGGGAGGACAGTCCTGGGGAGCATTCTCGAGGCTCTGGGGGCCGTGGCCGGAGGGGCCGGGGCAGAGGGTCCCCTCATCTCTCTGGAGCTGGAGACGCCTCCCCTGCTGACCGGAAGTCCAAGGTAGGAGTGGAGAAGGGCTGGGGTCTTCTGACCGAGGAGGCGCTGTCTGGACTCTTCCCACTCTCAAGTGGGGTGTTGCGCACTTAGCTGTTTGTCCCACTTTTCAGCTTTTCCCTGTCTCCCCACCCCCAACCCCTCCACCTGGGCTTAGATGTCCTCTCCCAGCTCCCTGCTGCCTTTCTACCGTGTCTGTGTGGGACTCTGCTTGTCCACTTTGCTCCCCATCTTCCTCTTCCAGCCCTGGTTCTGTCTGTCTGACATACTTGTCTATCCCTGGATGTGGGGGGCGGTGACTTTTTTTCGGTTTGTGCGGTTATTGTTTTTTTTTAATAATATAATAGTTTATATTTACATCATTTTGTGCCTTTCTCCATCTTAGTGTCATCTTAGTGACGTCTTTACAGTGTCTGCTCCCACTGTCCCGGACACACCTTTAGCAGGGTGGTGGCTAACTAGCATAAGGGCTTAGTGGCCGCTGTATCTAGGGGTCAACCTGGCTCTCTCAGGGAACTGACCTTCAGCAGCTCTGGCTCCCCTAAAAGCTTCTGGGTTCTCCCTCTTGAAGGGGGATAGTAATCAGGTCTAAAGCTGGTCATGTGAATCCTGTGGCATCAGGCACCCACTGAGCCCTAATGTTTATTTGTACATGCTGAAGCTGCTGTAACAAAAAGAGCCCAAGCCCCATGGCTGAAATTGATGGAAGTTTATTTCTCTCTTGTGTGCTGGGCCCTGAGAGTGGAAAGTGAAGCCGTCCCCTGGCTGTTTGGCTGCTGAACCCGCCCTCATGGGGACAGAGGGATGGATTGCGGCTTGCCCCACCCCCGGCCACGTTGCCTGCTTCTCTTGTGGTTATCGCCACCGCAGTCACCCGTGTGTGGAGGGCCCACGTTGGTGCAGGGTCTTGCTAGAGGATTTGTGGCCGAGGAGACAGTGAAACCAGCGGAGGGGTGAGGGGCGTGGGGTGAAGCCTGGGGTCCTCTCCTGGGAGTTGGGCATTCACCTCCTCGGTATGAGCCCTGACCACCCTTGAGGGCTCTGTCCAGGTGGCAGTGGGTCCCCCTCAGTCCTCCACTAGTGCTCACCCGGAGTCCAGATTCCAGGGGTGCAAGGCACTCCGCATCCAACTGCAGAGTTGGTGGGAGTTGAGAGGCGACCTCGGTCCCTTGCTCTCCTCATTAGTTAACTGTTGGCAGGGGACCCCCAGCGTCGGGTCCCAGATGCCACTGAGCCCGGGAGTGCAGTCTGCACCTGTGTCAGCTCTCCCGCAGGGAACTGACGCTGGTGCGTCTTTACCCAGGAGTGGGAGGAGCGGCGCAGGCAGAACATTGAGAAGATGAATGAGGAGATGGAGAAGATCGCTGAGTATGAACGCCACCAGCGGGTCAGTGCCTGGGCGGCCCTGCCCTCCACGGAGCTGGGGGCAGAGCCCCTGCCCCCTGACACCCCCCTGTGTGCAGGAAGGCGTGCTGGAGCCCAACCCTGTGCGCAACTTCCTGGACGACCCCCGGCGACGTGGCGGGCCCCTGGAGGAGCCTGAGCGGGACCGCCGGGAGGGCAGCCGCCGGCATGGGCGCAACTGGGGGGGCCCCGACTTTGAGCGGGTACGCTCCGGTCTTGAGCAGGAGCGACAGGTAGGTGTGGGCAGAGAGTGCCTCCTGTTTCTCCTTTCACAAGCCAGGAGACAGGGAGAGGCAGCGTCCTCACTCAGCCCTTCACCCCCACGTTGCGGGTTCCCCTGCCATACAACTGTTGCTGTCATAGCTGTGGGCCTGTTCTGGTGCTGTGCCCTGCCCCTGACCTACGTAAGGGGTGCCTGCTGGCCGCTGGGCACTCTCCCAGCTGCTGATGCTGTATGGGCTGTTTCATGAGGCAAGCGCCTGCCTGACCACGGTCTGGGCGGGGCGGAGAGCCGGGAGTTTGAGTCTGTGCTCCAAGGAGATGCCATGCGCTGGTGCGGGTAAAGGCCCAGCAGGGAGAGCCCGGGCGGCCGCTTAGGAGAGGGCCCTTGAGCCGACCTGGTTCTTTCTCCGCCCTGCTGCTTCATCCTGTGTGGCCCGCAGCAGGGGTGGCTCCTCTGAGCGGAGGCTGGAGCGCGGAGGGGTGGGTCAGCCCTGACTGCCTGTCTGCTGGGGCAGGGCCGCCGGGCCGGCCTGGGCAGTGCCGGGGACATGACGCTCTCCATGACGGGCCGGGAGCGGTCGGAGTACCTGCGCTGGAAGCAGGAGAGAGAGAAGATCGACCAGGAGCGGCTGCAGAGACACCGCAAGCCCACGGGGCAGTGGCGGCGGGAGTGGGATGCCGAGAAGACCGATGGGATGTGAGTCTCCTCGCTCCCCCTTTGTCCTCTGCACCCTGGCCCGACTTCGGACTGCTTGACTCTGGTGCCCGCTGGTCCCTCGTGTGTCGGGTTGCCGTGGTAAGGATGCCTAAGTCCAGCACCAAGTCCAGTGTGCCCTGGGTCACCTTGGCTCGCTGACCCTGGCTGGAATTTAAGCTCAGGCTTCAGCTGGGCTTGACTTCCCTACATGTGTTCGTTCTGGGGTCCAGGCTCGGGCAGCAACTACTGGGGAAGCCCTGGTCATGGCTTCAGCAGAGATGGAGGGAGAGCGGAATGTTTCCCATTGCATCAGGCCACGGCCCCCTGCTGGGGTGGGAGGTTAGACTGGGAGCTTCAGGGGAGCCCGCCACGTGGGCTGGGCATAGGCACTGCCAGCGGCCTTTAGACCTTTGCTTCCTGTCTTCACCCCTCACCTGTACCCCCACCCTTACCCAGGTAAGGGTCATCTCAAGCTGCCTTTGTTCCTCTTGGGGCCCTGGTAACGCAGAGGCTGCCTGGGTCCTTGAAGGCGCCAGTTTCCACAGCGAAGACAAGTGGTGGGAGCCGAGGGCAGGCTCAGAGGCTCGAGCTTTCACACCATCCTCTGCCCTCGCTGCGTGGGGGCTTTCTCACGCCGTGTTTGTTTGGTCGTTGGCTCTGGCTTAAGAACAGGGACTGGTGTGTGTGCCTGGTGGCTGCAGGGAGCCCAGAAAACACGAATATTTGTGCAGATGTGATGGCCGCTCTCTGCGTGTGGGCAGCCGGCTTCCAGGGAGACGTTCTCGGTGGTCATCTGCATTGGTTTATGGGACTTCCTGTGTCCTGGGGGCACAGCAAGTTTGCCTTCCAACGGCCACTTAGGCCTAACAGGCCTCTGAGTCCAGTGGGAAGGATGGGCGGGAACAGTGAGCAGCTGCAGGGTGTCCCAGGGCTGTTGGAGATAAAGCAGGCTGTTTCGCTGGGCCTTTGGGAAAGGCCTTGGAGCAGAGACCTTAAGGAGGTGGGGGGGAGCCGCTGGAAGTCATGAGGAGCAGCTTTGGGGGTGGCCAGCTAGGTGCAAAGGCCCTAAGGTTGGAGCTGGGGGAAGAGCCTGCTTAGCTGGGGAGCTGAGAAAGAATGATAGGCAGGGAGCTGGGGATTGTGTATTTCCCAAGTTTTCGTGTTTGGGGCTCAAATACTGCGTTTCTGTGATTTTTCACTACCGCGTAAAGTACTGTGGCCCATTCCCGGTTCGGACCCTGCTGCCTCCTCGCCCTCTTTGCGCCCCGCCACCTGCTCACAGCTGTCCTCTTTCCCAGGTTCAAGGATGGCCCAGCCACCGCCCTGGAGCCCTCGCACCGCTACGGTGAGGGGGGCCTCGGCGGGGTGAGCAGCTGCCTGCAGTGGCAGTGGCGTGGGGTTGATTAGGAGTCATTCCCCCAGCTCTGACTCTTCCTGGGTTCTGCTGCAGATGACCAGGCCTGGGCTCGACCTCCCAAACCCCCTACTTTTGGGGAGTTCCTGTCCCAGCACAAAGCTGAAGTCAGCCGCAGGAGGAAGAAGAGCAGCCGACCGCAGGCCAAGGCAGCCTCCCGTACCTACAGGTGTGTGTGTGACTCTGCCCCTGGTAGTTCTCTGAGGGGTGTGTGTGGGGGGGGTGGTGGTCTGCCTGTCCCACCTTGGCCCTGTCTGTCTCGGGTACTTGTGGGTCAGGCACGTGGTTTGGGACCCGGCTCTCTGCTTCATTTCTGTCACTGACACTGTTTGCTCCTCAGTGCTCCCCTGCACTAGGTCCTCCTCAGGAAGTTCTCTAGCCTCTGTCCCCCCAAGTAGAAGTTCGCTTTGGAGGAGGTGCTGAGATGGGAAGCCCTTTCCGCTGGTTCCCCTGGGCTTCAGGGCTTCACCCCTTCTTCTCCCTGCTCTAGTGACCATGATGACCGCTGGGAAACGAAGGAGCTAGTGTCCTCAGCCCCAGAGGCCCCACAGCCCAGCACCAAGGAGATGCCAACGCAGGTAAAGTGGGCTGTCGTCTCTGGGCAGGGGGTCTGGGGGCACCCGGGACCTCCCTTTCCCCGACCTACCTTGTGTTCCCCACAGCCTCCCGAGACCCCAGCCCCTGCCCACCGGCCTCCAGAGGATGAAGGAGAGGAGGAGGAGGGGGAGGAGGACGAAGGGGAGGAGGAAGGGGAGGAGGAGGATGCGGACGAGGATGAGGAATGGGAGGATGTGAGTGAGGATGAGGAGGAGATCGAGGAGGAGGAAGAGGCTGATGAGGAAGAAGAACCAGCCCGAGACCACCAACCCCAAGAAGCTGAACCCACCGGGAGTCCTGCCATTGAGCAAGCGGACAGAGTGCCCCCCAGACCCGAGGAGCCCCTGGTGATTCCCCAGGCCCCTGCCACACCTTCCAGCCCCTTTTCGCCCCCTGGGGGCCACAAGCCGGTGTCCGACTGGGGTGAAGAGATGGAGCTGAATTCTCCCCGGACCGCCCACCCGGCGGATGCCCTCTCTCCGGGTGAGACCTGGCCTTTTGAAAGTGCATGAAGCTGGCTGCTTGTGTGTGTGTGCGCGAGGGTGCACGGGCCTGGGAGGCTGGGCCCTGGGACCCCCCTGTACCCACCTAGTGGCTGGGCAGGACAGACCTGTCTCCTCTGTGTACTGGCCACACCCGTCTCTGCATCGCCCACCCTGCTTCTGCCCCTGCTGGACCAGCAGATCCCCTCCCTAATAAAGAGTTCACATCTCTAACACTCCCCCAGTGTGTCCTTGAACCCCTTCACTGCCCAGGCTTCATATCTTGGAGTAGGGGGGTCTGTTTGGAGGAGAGGGGCTTGACTGGGCCTCCCCTTCCCAGGAGGTGACCAGCCAGCCCCTGCCTCCCTGGAAAGTGGGTCCAGTCTCCCAGGATCCCAGAAGGCTGAAGAAGAGGGGTCTGAGGTCGCTCCAGGTGGGGGACTAGCCGGAGTTGGTGGTGGTGTCCTTCCTTCCTCTTCCTCTGGGGCTTTTTGGGAGGAGGAGGGGGCCCTCTGCTGTGGTGGTGGTGATGGTAGAGCTGCTGCATGTGGGGGGTCGGGTCCATGCTGGGTTAACAGGCAAACTGCCTGGGACTGGCGGTCAGGTGGACCTAGTATGGGCTTAGGGTTCAGGAGCCAACCTCCAGGGAAAATCAAGGAGGTTGGGCAGAATTAGGGCCAGATTAGCTATTTAAATTGGTTTCATATAAGAATGGGGAAGGACTGGAATGAATTTAGGGTGGGCTGGGTGAGGTTGGAGCTTGAAGGAGTCAGGTGGAGTGTTAGAAGTGCTGACTCGGCTGCCGGGCCCGGGAACCTGGATTCCTCCAGAAATGGGAAGCCAGGTTGGGGGGCAGAGAGGGCGGCTGTGGTAGGGCAGGCGAGATGGAAGTTGGGAGATGGAAGTTGCTTTCGGCAGCTGAGTCAGGACTGGATCCGGTGAGAATTGAAAGGTGAGTGAGGTGGGAACTGAGTGCTTTGCCCTTTGGCCCAGGAGTTGGCCAAGTGTCCATCATCCCTACCAGGTTATTTCCTTCGTGGTAGACTGGAGTGCATGGGAGTCCACTGGTCAGGCTCTGCATGAGGGGCACAACCTGAGGTCCAGGTGGCTGGGGGTGGGGTTACTCTCCCCCCCACACTGACCATCTCTTCTCTTCCCAGAGGGGAGCCCTGAGGGCCAGGAGACAGCAGAGATCACAGACTTCCAGAGGGTGCGTTTCTGCAAGGTGGTGGTGGTCACTCAGCCACCTGGGGCTGCCCGCTGATGGAGTCGCCGACTGTGGCCTCTGCATTCTGCACTAACCTCTCTTGTTCTGTCTTCTGCTCATGCCACACTCCAGCCAGGAGAGGGTTAAATGTAAGGGGGGGAGGAGCCTGGGACGGCGAACCCCCCTGGGGCCAGGTAAATAGTCCAGTCTCAAAATAAGAGCCCCTGAGAGCTGGGGTAGCTGTGACGCCCCTATCCCCCGAGTTACCTGTCTAGAAGACCATGGGAACCTGAGTGCCAGACCCGGGTTGCGTCTCCCGCCTCCAGAAGTTTACATCTGGAGCATGGCAGATAGCCCAAATGACTAATTATTGGGCCACGGTCTGTGTCTATTAAATTCAGTGCTTCCGCTAACCTTTGAACTGTGTTTCTGGTGGGTGCGGGCTGAATTGCTGTGCTTGGAGGGCTTTGCCTTGGTGCAAGAGGTGGGTGAAAGGGTTCTTACCTTCTCCACCCCCCTGATCTGTCTTCCCTCCCCCACCCTCCTTGCAGGCTTCCCCGAATTCATGAAGACGCTGCTGGGAGGGGACTGAAGCTTCCCCACCGTGAAGGGGAAGGGGCGGCAGGAGGGGGTTAGTCTAGTCTGGATCTCCAGGCGATGCTGTCACTTCCCCGAGCCCTCTTGGACCCCGTGGCATTAGGGAGAGGGAGAAATCTAGGGTGGTGGGGGAGGAGTTAGGGAAGGGGCGTGAGTGAAGCCTGGGGCAGAGCTGGAGCTTGAGGGCTTGAGCGTGAACGGTGAGGGTGGAAAGGGCCGGCCCTGAGATCAGGGGCGTGGCTAGGTGCCTCGGCCGGACCTGTATTTAGGCGGTTGTGTGGGGTCTGGAGAGCCGACTTTAATGCATGTTCACCCTGTGGGGTGCTGCCGCCAGGGGTAGAAGATAAGGTAATCGAAACCTGGATTAGAATACAATTTGGAGAAGGGGAATGAGTGCTGAGGCAGGGGTTGGGGAGAGGCTTCGATTCGGAACTTCGAGATCTGAGCCTGGCAAGTGTGTGGGGCTCGGGGGCAGGGCCGTGTGCCGTTACGAAGTCTGCCCAAAGGGGCCGGGGTAAGGGGTGTGGAGGCCAGAAAAAGGAGAGTGGGTGAGGCGCTGTGGCGGACTAGGCATTTAAGAGGCTTGAGTGTAACCCCGAATTCTAGAAAGAGTGGGCGGGCCTCGGAGAGCTGGTGAAAAAAAATTGCAAACCTGGGGGGGTCTGGGCGCTGCGCCTAAGCCTACGTCGTGGTTGGCTAGAGACGAGGAGGGGGCGGTCCCAGCCCGGCGCGGGGGCGTAACCAAGTTGGCGGGGGCGGGGCTGGGCCCGGAGCC